TCAGGGAACGAGTTCCCCACATATATTTCAGGAAAGACCTTATTAGGCCAACAAACACTAAAACTGAAAGATATTACATAACATTTATAGTGGAATAATTACATTTTGCTTGTTTACATTTGAACTCAAAAAATAAAAAATGAAACCTATTCAGTGGATCAGCAGGGTTGTGCAGAGTTGCAGTGTAACAGTTACACATTCTGATAAACCAATCTTACAGTTTAGTACAACTGAAAATAAAAGTAGCAGAGAAATGAGTTAGAGCTCTGTGTTTATACAAGATGAATAATATATATTTAAACACTAAGCTCATATAAATGTATGAAAATATAAAATAATAATAACAAAATACGCATCATTTCTCATTCAGTAATATAAACGTACACACAAAGCTTCTCTGTGGCTCAACAGGCAGCGAAGGATTAAACGGAGAAAGTTCTGGAGCTCCTTACTGTGCAAACCTCCACACAAATGGCTGCTCTCAACTATGACCCTATCCATGTGATCACAAATGACCAGCCAACCACTGGGAGGTGCTCAAATGCTTTTCACCTTCATCTAACATAAACCAGAGAGTGGACCACATTATCTGCATCACCACAGGGGGCGCTGTTGAACCAGGCAGCTGCACTGTTGGAGCTCAGAGTAGGTGAGTTTACTGAAAGTCTGGAAGAAAACAAACAGAGGTCAAAGGTTATCACTCACTGACTGTTTTAGTCTGAATAACAACTGGAAGCTTTATTTTTTTTAAGTAAAAAACAAAACAATGTCAGCAGATTATCAGAATTTTAAAAGAATAAAGTATTTCTATCAGCATCTTAAATCCAGTATTGAACACTGTCAGTTGTGTGTGAAGTTAATTTTCACAGTTTCATGGTTCTCTTTTATTTCCAGTGTGAAGTTTATTATAGAACCAGAGGTTGTTGCAGCCGGCCTCTAGTGGCCACTGGTGGTACTGCAACTTAATGCACTTCCACACAACTGTAGTGCAGGCTGTTTAAACAACTACAGGCTGATGTTTCAGTGTGGGTTATTCATATTTTATGGTTCTATATTTCAGCTCAAACATTCATGTTAACAGTCAGTTACAATAACTGCCCTTCCTGTGGTCCCAGGACAGGAAGCCCCTCAGCTGCAGTCAGCTGGTTGTTGAGTTTACTCACCTGTTTGGTCACATAAGCATCATTTCAGCATGTGTGCTGCTTCATGTGAACTGTAAACAGGCTTTTATCTACACATTCTTTATTTGATATTGAACCCTGTATCTCAGTACACAACCTTTCTCTCTCTCTTTGCAATGAAACATTCAGTCCGAGGACTTCCTCCTTAAACTCACAGAATCTTGTAGCTGGAGATTTGATCACAAACTGACCTTGTTTCAGTTTCTTAAACAGAAAGCACGTTACCATTTTTAAAACATATCCACAGTCTTCCCTCTATACTGCCACTGTAAATCATCCCTCTGCTGTACGTTGTTATCTTCTCAACCTATTATAGTGGGTGAAGTCTAAAGACACTGTTCTAAACCCAAAGTTAAATGAGCAGTGTGTAGGATTTAGTGTCATCTAGTGGTGAGATTGCAGATTGTAACCAACTGAAAAACAACCTGTTTGGTTTTTCCTGGACCTTTAAACCCCTACCACAGTTTCAACTCACCTTACTCTGAGAACTGGCTGCAGTGAATGTAAACTGTAGACATTTCTTCAGGAGGAGATCTGCTCTGTCTGTCCTCCTCTCTGATCCTGGCCTGCAGGAAGAGAACAGGGCTTTGTATTAAAATCAGCTGGTTTCACAAACACTAATAACGCTCATGGGCCCAAATTTACTCAAACTCACCTCGGTGACATTAACATACTCCACAGCAGGTTCTGAAAAACATGCACTTCAGAAGATTAGGTCCACTGCACTTTACTACTTAACTTGTGTGCATTCATTTCTGTTAGAGAACTTGATCCAGGCTCATAAAACATGTAACTTGGGGGAAAATATAATTTTTCCTTGTAAATAAACTTTCTCTTTCCAAGGTAAGGTCAAATTGCACATGAATTGTGTTAAACATAGGCTAACTTCTTTGAGTGTGAAGAAAATATGTGAGTATATTTATTTCACGTGACAAAGGTGGTTTGACAGGTAAAATGTATTGTTTGTTTGTTTTTTGTGAGTTTTAGACGTTCAGTTGTGTTTGTTCTGTTTCCTGCAGTCTCACCTTTGGGTTCACTGGCCCTCTTCCTGCACAATATCAGCACAGACGCTGATAATACGATGATCATGACGACCACAGTCAGACGCACATACAGCTGCACACCTGTGGTTGTAGAACAGGTTTGGTTTCCACTTTCTGGTTCATTATGAAATATCTGGGAGTCTGCATACCTGGACTCTCAGGTACATGTGGGACCTGAGAGTCCATTCATGTAAAAGATCTCTCAACCAACAATAAACTTAAGTTGTATAATGTTTATGTTCTACATACATGCATAAACACACACATGCATGTACAGATTTTACGCTGCAGAATAAAACATCACCAAGTAAACAAACACAAATAGAAGCATAAATGAGATTGATGCAGCTGTTCAGTTTGTTATAAATGGATATTTTAATCTATTTGATACGTTAAACCTGTTAGCTGCTTCACAGATACATGGCACACTATTGGTTGGTTTGTATTGTCACTCAGCACTGAGAGGACAACTCAAGCTGTGATTGGTTTATTGTTGTTTACCAGTTTTGAAAATCTGGAATAACTTTGATTCATGATGTTAAAGGAAAGTTGGAAGAAGGCAAGTTTTAATGAGTTAAAAAACATTTCACATTTACTGCAAGCAGCCATAATGCAACTCTACAGTGTGGTTCACTTAACTGGGAGATTGTGTACGGAAAAATCAAGAACAAACTGTTTGACTGGTTGGTGGTTTCAGGGGAGGATGATGAAGGTGTGGAGCTTCCTGAACTGGAGCTTAAACTCTGTGTTGTTGTCGGTGTGGAGGCTGATGGGACTGATGGTGTAAAAGGTGCTTTGGTGGTGGTTTTCCAGTTTGGTTTTGAAGCGGTTGGAGCTGTGAAACATATTTCAGATATTTTACAGATGAACTGTTGCTTTTAAAGGAGCATTTATCAGTGTTCACAATGATGGAAATATGCAGCTCCAAATATAATTGTTAGACTAAACATGTTGGGTTATTAGAAACATCAGCAGCTGTCAGTGAACACTTCATTTCATGACTCTCAGTAGAAACTCACCATCTTCAACTCTGAGCTCAAAGTCCTCGGTTAAATCTGGAAGAAAATGTCTGCCCAACATACATCTGTACCGCCCCGAGTCAGACTTAGTCAGGTTTTTGATGCCCACATTCAGAACTGCAAAAACCAAAGTTTCTTCTTCATATTCAATGCTGTATCTGCCACTCTGAGCTCTGCTCTCATCTGTTTCAATGAGAATGTCTTTTCCTTCACATTCTCTCTTACAGAAGATCTTCCTGCTTCCAGGGAATGAAAAGGAGCACCTAACTATGATGTTTCCTCCTTCACTTCCTGTACGGATGAAGGTTTGTGCATCAATGAGACCAGTGTTTCCATCCCGCATTGCTGTTGGAAAGATGAACAATCAATAGTTACTATCTCCCTGTACGATCCTGCAGTCTGATCATAATGAACAGATCCACAGAGTCACACTGAGAGCTGCTCAGTTCAAACAGTCAAACAGCAATTTGATTCAATGCACATTCAGCCAACAAAGATTGACTTTAACTGGGATTAATGTTTATAAAAGAGCAAAAATGATGGTCCCACTGAATAGTTTGGTTTCCCTTCAGTCACTCAGTCTGACATTGTGTTCAGGTTAGCTGATTTCTGTTTGGGAGGAACTCAGCTGTTGGTTTTGTCTGAACCAATCACACAAGCTGTTGCTGAGAGCAGTTAACCTTATTCTTTAACATCAAACAAAACTATTCACTAAAAAAGAATCATACCATTTAAGACGTGTTGTTTGTGCAAGTCCACTTACAACCTGTACAGCTGTGTGTCCCTCATCTCACCATTCCTTAGAACTTTTTTCTGTCTCTGTTTGTCATGGATGTAGCTAGGTAGCTGTGTAACGTCTCCACACAGCAGATTCTCTTATTGTTACTAATTGATCCCCATTTTCAAATTAATGCGGCTGAATTTATTTAATTATTTACCTAAACATTTGCATTTGTGAACAACTGATAAAACGAACACCTGAGAAAGACACAAAATGCAGTTCAAATATCCTGAAAAAGTTAGAAAGTGAATTTTTATTTTTGTACGTGTTACTTTTTTTTCTTTGTGTTTGTTTGCGCAACTTCCCATTTCTCATGAGAAAATTACTTTTGAATGTCTCTCTGCATGATAAATTAGTTTTTTTGTGTGTTGCTTAACACGTTCACAGCTCTCAGTTTGTCAGCAAGGTTTCTAACTGTGGTTCACTGCTGCAGTTCTTCCTCTGGAGCTGGTTGAAATCAAATAATAAAGGTTAATTGTTTTCTCTCTTTTGCTCTAAGAAGGTTGACCAAAGTGGTTTAGCAAACTGCAAGTTAACTAAAGGAAGAGGCATTTACTCTGCACAGTTCTGAAAAAGTTGCTAAGATGTATTTTAGTGCAACTTGGAGGTTTCTATATTACTATGTAAGAAATAATCTTTCTGCTACTTCTATGAGACTGCAACAGTCAGCAGTAACAATTAAACTATAAAACATGTACAGAAGAACAATAGTTGGTTGCAGATTGGCAGGCTAAGATTTTGAGGAGATAACTAGTACCTGTACATTTTAAAGTGACTCTGAACATCGTGTTCAACCACAGAAACCAACGGTGTGTGAGACACAGAGAACAATCAAGCAAGACTGAGATGAGATGTGACACAACAGAGTCCATTTTTTAACATGCTACACAAAGCTAACTGACCAACTATAAAAAACTACAGAAAACTGATAAAATAAAGAGAGAGAATGATAGAAACAGAAGGAGAGTGTACTCACAGAGGAAGAAGAAGCAGATCAAAGTGTGACAGACTTTCATGTTGGAGGCTCTGATGCTTTATCGCTTCCTCTCTTCTGTCTTCACTGGAAAACCAGGAACTCCTCACTTCTCTAAATGATGGAGTCCCTCCTCCAAACAACACTGAACTCTCCTCCACATTTTTTTCTCCACTTCAGGGTCAATTACCTGCCAGTGCATGAATGCATTTTACATTAAAACTGGGCTTGGTTGAACCCAAAGTGGCATTAATGCCATATGTTTGTCTAAAAACTAAATTCTATCTCTACAGTGTGTCTACACTAAATAGAAAATTCTTTGTCATTTTTGTCAGTTATCGAGTCTCTTTTCATCTCAAAACTACTTCAACAATCTTCTTCTTAAAAAAAAAAAGAATAGTGTTTGTGTATTAGTACACTGTAAAACCTAATGACACATCTTAATAAATGGAGTAAGTTCATATAACTTAATCCTCCAAAAAATTTGGAGTCACTCAATCTCATGAATTAAATCTAACTACATATATAATTCCAGTTTCTTTGATTGACTTATTTTCTTAAAGTTGACTTTATATCATTACAAAAATGTAACCACCACTGTGCTATAATGCTCAGGACTTTTTTATTTTTGTTTTGAGATGAAGCAAAGCTACAATCAGTAAAAACAGTGCTTCAGAGAACGAGTTCCCCACATATATTTCAGAAAAGACCTTATTAGGCCTACAAACACTAAAACTGAAAGATATTACATAACATTTATAGTGGTATAATTACATTTTGCTTGTTTACATTTGAAGTCAAAAATAAAAAATGAAACCTATTCAGTGGATCAGCAGGGTTGTGCAGAGTTGCAGTGTAACAGTTACACATTCTGATAAACCAATCTTACAGTTTAGTTCAACTGAAAATAAAAGTAGCAGAGAAATGAGTTAGAGCTCTGTGTTTATACAAGATGAATAATATATATATATAAACACTAAGCTCATATAAATGTATGAAAATATAAAATAATAATAACAAAATACGCATCATTTCTCATTCAGTAATATAAACGTACACACAAAGTTTCTCTGTGGCTCAACAGGCAACGAAGGGTTAAACGGAGAAAGTTCTGGAGCTCCTTACTGTGCAAACCTCCACACAAATGGCTGCTCTCAACTATGACCCTATCCATGTGATCACAAATGACCAACCAACCACTGGGAGGTGCTCAAATGCTTTTCACCTTCATCTAACATAAACCAGAGAGTGGACCACATTATCTGCATCACCACAGGGGGCGCTGTTGAACCAGGCAGCTGCACTGTTGGAGCTCAGAGTAGGTGAGTTTACTGAAAGTCTGGAAGAAAACAAACAGAGGTCAAAGGTTATCACTCACTGACTGTTTTAGTCTGAATAACAACTGGAAGCTTTATTTTTTACATGCATGTTAACAGTCCGTTACAATAACTGCCCTTCCTGTGGTCCCAGGACAGGAAGCCCCTCAGCTGCAGTCAGCTGGTTGTTGAGTTTACTCACCTGTTTGGTCACATAAGCATCATTTCAGCATGTGTGCTGCTTCATTTAAACTGTAAACAGGCTTTTATCTGCACATTCTTTATTTGATATTGAACCCTGTATCTCAGTACACAACCTTTCCCTCTCTCTTTGCAATGAAACATTCAGTCCGAGGACTTCCTCCTCAAACCCACAGAATCTTGTAGCTGGAGATATGATCACAAACTGGCCGGGTTCCTGTTTCTTAAAAAGACTGCACGTTACTCAGAAACATACACTGACGTAAAGTACTTGTGAGACCACATTTATAAAACATGTCCACAGTCTCTCTATATTGCCACTGTAAATCATCCCTCTGCTGTACGTTGTTATCTACTCAACTTATTATAGTGGGTGAAGTCTAAAGACACTGTTGTCTAAACCCAAAGTTAAATGAGCAGTGTGTAGGATTTAGTGTCATCTAGTGGTGAGATTGCAGATTGTAACCAACTGAAACAACCTGTTTGGTTTGTCCTGGACCTTTAAACCCCTACCACAGTTTGAACTCACCTTACTCTGAGAACTGGCTGCAGTGAATGTAAACTGCAGACATTTCTTCAGGAGGAGATCTGCTCTGTCTGTCCTCCTCTTTGATCCTGGCCTGCAGGAAGAGAACAGGGCTTTGTGAAACCAACTGATTTTAACACAAACCAAACATTTAAAACATTCAATGTCCAAAATGTACTCACCTCTGTGACATTAACATACTCCACAGGAGATTCTGAAAAACGTGAAGTTCAGAAGATTAGGTCCACTGTTAAAACATCTGGATTAGTCACAGAGAAACATAAAGCCCATTTCTATCACAACGTTCCAGTAACTAACAGAAACTAAATATCTCTGTTGGTGTTTTCGCCGAATCTGAGGAACTGTAAAGATTAGGCAAAATGGACCAATGACAAATTAAAAACTAGTTTTTACACACAAGAAAGTGCTGGCTCATTTTGTGGATGAAAATACTACTACTTTTATAAAACACCGCTTGCATGCATAAGGCAGTCCTGATCTGTGATAAACATTATTAGCAGTAAAAGGGAACTGGTTTGATACATAAAATATGTTTTTTGTCAGAAATGTTTTACATGTTCAGTTGTGTTTGTTCGGTTTCCTTCATCCTCACCTTTTGGTTCACTGGCCCTCTTCCTGCAGAATATCAGTGCAGCTGCTGATAATACAATGATCGTGATGACCACAGTCAGACGTACATACAGTTGCACACCTGGGAATGTTTGAGCAGGAGAACAAGTTACTTTTACACTTCCTGGTTCATTAATGTATCTGGGAGTCAGCACAACTGGAGGCCGCTCAGTCAGTCCGTAAAGTTGAAGTCACTCTGCATTAATTGACAATTGGGAGGAAAACAATCAAGGATCGTGATTGGTTAATTGTGGTTACCAGTCAAGTAAAATTGGTCAACATTTATGAGTTATTGAGTGAAAAAGCATTGCACATTTATACAGTCTACAGTTTGGTTCAGATAACTAGGAGCCTTTTGAATGCTGAAAAATGTACCTGGACCTGCAGCTCTCTGTTGCTGTTCAGGCTGGTTGGTGGTTTCAGGGGAGGACGATGAAGGTGTGGAGCTTCCTGAACTGGAGCTTAAACTCTGTGTTGTTGTCGGTGTGGAGGCTGATGGGACTGATGGTTTAAAAGGTGCTTTGGTGGTGGTTTTCCAGTTTGGTTTTGAAGCGGTTGGAGCTGTGAAACACATTTCAGATATTTTACAGATGAACTGTTGCTTTTAAAGGAGCATTTATCAGTGTTCACAATGATGGAAATATGCAGCTCCAAATATAATTGTTAGACTAAACATGTTGGGTTATTAGAAACATCAGCAGCTGTCAGTGAACACTTCATTTCAGGACTCTCAGTAGAAACTCACCATCTTCAACTCTGAGCTCAAAGTCATCGTAAGAATCTGTAGATCTGTCCACCTTACATCTGTACCACCCTGAGTCAGACTTAGTCAGCTTTGTGATGCTCACATCCATAGAGATAATAAATGGTTGAGGATCTAAGTGTTTATATTGGATGCTGTATCTGCCACTCTGAGCTCTGTCCTCATATGTTTCAATGAGAATGTCTTTTTCTTCACATTCTCCCTTACAGAAGATCTTATGTCTTCCAGACAAAGAGAAATCAAAGTGACACAAAGCTCTGATGTTTTCTCCTTCAGTTCTTGTATAGACTCGTGTTCTTCTGTCACCAACGAAGCAGGCAGTGTTTCCATCCCACAGTGCTGTTGGAAAGATAAACAATCAATCGTTACTATCTTCCTGTCCTGTAAGATCCTGCAGTCAAACACATCATTTACATCATTGTTTACCGAACCATTTGCATTACTAAACAAACCACCTGCTGATAAAGTGTGAGCTGTAGTTAAAAGAACCTTAAAATGCAAGAAAGTGAGTTTTTACCTTTTGTTTTTGTTTGATTGTATGTTTTTGATTATTTGATTTGATTCAGTATTTGTACTTTTTTAACATATTCACGGTTATAGACGCCCATCACATGCAGGCTCCAGTGCTTGTCTTGAGCCAAAGAGACTGAGCACTCACTGGGATGGCCGTTTAAAAACTTGCAGTTCGGGAAAATGTTACTATGATTTACTTTGACTGAAACTCACATATTTCTCTAATACTCTGTAATAAAATGTAATCTTTCTCTTGAATCTTTCCGACTGCAACAGTCTAAATACAACAAAAAGCATAAACAAGTAATATAAAAAATATAAAACAAGTACAGCAGAACAGTCGTTGATTGCAGATTGTTGGTATCAAACAAAAAAAATGTCTTTAGAGTTTGAGGTCACTTAGTATTAGTACAGTTTAACTTAACTCATACCGGACTCTGAACGTCAAGTTTAACCACATAAACTAAAATCATGTTGGACAGTCCTCTATTAAAACGGTTAAACACAAACTGCAGAAAGCTCTACACTATAAAACCAAAGACAAATCACATAATAAAGAGAGAGAATGATAGAAAAAGAAGGAGAGTGTACTCACAGAGGAAGACGACGCAGATCAAAGTGTGACAGACCTTCATGTTGGAGGCTCCGATGGTTTATCGCTGCCTTTCTTCGGTCTTCACTGAAAAATTAGGAACTTTACACTTCTCTAAATGATGGAGTCCCTCCTCCAAGCAACACCCTCACCCAACTTTCCTTCCTTATTTATTAGTCCTTGTTCCACAGCGGAGTCAAAAAAACAGTGTGTCTACACTGCTAGAAAACTCCTCTCACTGTCAGTTTTGTCTGTTATCAAGTTCTATAAATGTTTTTAATAAAAACAGCTTATTTCAAGAATTATTTTTAATTATTTTTACAAAAGGAGCTTATCTCTTTTGGAGGGAAGACATTTTTATTTTCTACTGAAGAAAACATCCCACTGTACAAATGTTGAATCCTGAGAGTTCAGACAGATAACAGACAAGCCTTAAATATGCATTTCAAACCCTATTTTTACTTTTTCCAGCAAATGGCAAAGAGTAGACAACAGTATCTGCATCACCACGGGGGGCGCTGTCGAGCGAGGCAGCTGCACCGTTCAGAGTAGATGAGTTTACTGGAAGTCTGAAACAAAACAAACAGAGGTCAAAGGTTATCAGTGACTGATTTAGTCCTTCATATGTACATAATCTACAAAGTTTATGTTATTCTTCTGTGTTCCTTTTGTTTAAGATATCAGCTATAGGGCTGCAACTAACCCAAAGATATTTAGTTTATTGTCAAAGAGGACTAAAGAAAATATATTCACATTTGAGAAGCTGAAGTCAGAGGATTTAGAATTTATTTCTCTTACAAAATGACTCAAAAACGAGGAATCAATTATCAAATCAGTTGGCAATTAATTTAAT